CTAAAAGGTAATAAAAATATTTCAATAAATTTATGCTAATTAAAAGCATATTCACTACAATTGTATGTTAAAAATACACTAAAAAAGATAAAAAAAAATAATACATTATATTTTATTAAAAAAAACTATTCACTAATATAATTTATTATTTATTATAATTATATTAATTAACTATTAATTTTCATAAAAAATAATTTAATTTCTGTATTTAATTTTAAATAATTATTCTAAAAAAAAAATTATTTTTCTAAAACTACAGTTTATTTTGCTGATTGTATTGCTTGATAACCACGAATCAGATAATCAGTTTTGAGTACTAAAAGTTTTAATGCCTGTTGTTTTAATGTATTGTTTTTCAAGTTTTTAATAACTTTGTCCTCAATAGCAAAATGTGATTTTGTGTCCATTAATATCTAAATAATATTTTTTAAAAAAAAGATTGAAAAAATATATAACTTATATACATTACATATACCGTATACACATACTATAGACATATACACTCCACATATACACTACACACATATATATATATATATAAAATACACATAAACACTACACATAAACACTACACACATACACTACACATATACACTACACATATACACTACACATATACACTACACTACACATATACAATATACAATATACATATACAATACACATATAAACTACACATATATACTACACATATATACTACACATATATACTACACTACACATATACACTACATATATATACTACACATATACACAACACATAAACATATATTTATTATTATTATTTTTTAAAATAATGTCTACTAACCTTTTTAACAAACGATACCCAAAACTGATCCTGTTTATTATTATTAACATAGTTGAAATTTTTTTGAATCAAATCCAACACATGTTTACGATTATTGCCAACTAGTGTTGTTAATTTACCAACATCATTTGATTTCACAAATTTATCTGCATCACTAATTATTTTGATTTTTTGACAATCATCGGTAAGTTGCATATATAGTTTCCAAAATTCCAACCAACTGGCCAAATATGTTAGATACCGGTGCCTATTAACCGGATTAATTTGCTTATCAATTGCACCGGATATACTATTAATTAGATGGGTATCATATTGGCAACCATTACCATAGATACTGCCGAAATCAGCTAGATGATTTACTTTTAGCAATTGATGATTCACCCGGGTATATAGATAGCATTGTTTTGATAAACCTAATTTAATGGTTAATTTGAGTGGACTATCATCGCTTAGGGACTGGTAGTCAGCTAATAGTTTAGCAAAATTAGGCGGTTTAGGAAACGGATGATTAGCTGTACAAACATCGATAGCATCTACAATACAAATACATGAGTTAATACAAATACAATTTTATAAAAAAAAATATTATAGTTTTTTTTTATAAAAATTTAAAATTAACAAAATTGTAAATTTATATATATTATATAACAATAATCAGAAAAATAATTACCTAATTTATTAAAAATAATTGTAAAAACAATACCAATAATAATTAGTAACTTCATTGTTGCTGTTGTTGACTGTATTTATAAAAATAATAAAAATAAAATTAAATTACTAATAATTTTTTATTATTTTGTAATTTATATTATATATTTTTTCATTGTATTTATAGTTTTTTTCCCAATATAATTTTTAACTATGTATTAATTTATAATAAAAGATTATTAATAAAAAGTTAATAAATTAAAACATTTTATTTATTAATATTTTATTATAATATATATATAATATTAAGCTTAGTAATATTGTATTAATTATACTAACTAATAATTAATGATATTATTGAACTAAAAAAATATAATAATAATAATATTAAATTTGATATATTTTTTTACTAATTAATTAAAATTGATTTTGTGAAATTAATATATTGCAAAACAATGCAATTTGTGGTAATAAGTAAATTAGGTTATTAACTTTTTAAAAATGATATATATATATATAATAAATAATATTGTATATATGATGATTGATATTAAATATATATATTTTTAAAAAAATATTTAGCTTAGTAATATTGTATTAATCAATAATAACAAATAATTAATGATATTATTGAACTAAAAAAATAAATTATATTTTATATTTATTTATTTTTTATTAAATGATTAAAATTAATTGGAAAATATATTATTAATTAAGATAAATTATTGTGTTTTAAAATAAAATAACTAAATTTTAAAAAAATTAAATTTTATAATTTCAATTAGATTTCATATTTTAATAAATTAATAAGTTGAATAAAAGTTTATATCAGTATATATTTAATATTAATATTATACAATAAATTTAACAATATTATTCAATAAAAATACATTAAATACATAATATATTATTGCAATGATAAATAGTATTTTTAAAATTTAAATAAATTTTATGATCTCAGATTAATATAAATTTTAAAACTATATAAATTTTTTATTATATAATAATAAACTAATTTTTAGTTATAATTTATTTATTTTATTTTATTAAATCTTATTTTATAATAATTAAACAATTTTTTAGAATTTAATAAATTTAAAAAACAATGAGATAATTGAACAATATAAATAAGCTAATATAAATATATATATATATATAGAAAGATAAATAAATATATATTTAAATCTAGTGTTGTTAGATGTCAAGTTTAATAAAATAATTTTTTTAAAAATAATTAACAAAACAAAACATTATTTTAAGAATTAAAGTCTGTATTAAGTTAAATAAAATTTAAACAATTTATTAAAAATATATTTTATTAATTTGTATAAAAATTTTTTCTATTAATATTACTGACAGAAAAATTGTTTAACAATTAAATTAGTCAACAATTTATACGATTGATTAGCACATCTAGTAAGCGATGATACAGTAAATATAATAAACATAAAACCTAGAAAACAGGCAATAAATGCATAGAAAAATACTAATGTCTGTATAAAATCGGATGATTTAAAGCACAGACAGTATAACAAACAAACAGTCGCTGAACCAAATGTTAGCCAATAGTATAGCAATATCAGTGACCAATAGGTTTGATTGTAATCATTGATTTCGATTAAAATTCTGTCCAATTGTTTAATTGATTGTAAAATTTTCCGATAATTTTTATCAAAATTATTAAACTGTTTAAACTGTTTATATAGTTTTGAAAATTTCAATTGAAAATATCGGCACATTATATACAAATAGATAATCTGAAACATTATTATATTAAACTGATAGTGACCTAATAGGGCAAATATTAGGCTATTGGGTATACCATATACTATTGAATCATAAATGGTTTGACCAGGTTTTTGCCTAAAATAACCGGCCATTACTAATAGAAAACCAAAACTAGGTATAATTTTGTCTGAATTAAATTTCAAACCATTAGACAATAGCTGCATACGTTTTGTTAGCTTATATACCAATTCTGGATCATTAAAACCTAACCGATAGGGTGTCCATCTAATGCCGGACATCATCAGAAATATACGCATAAATTTTGGCTGAATTTTCTTGATATTCAATTTCCATTGATATGTTAGCTGTAATAATAGACTAAGTAAACCAAACACAAGTAAATTGTAAACAATTAGACGATTGTCCATCAGATATACTAAATCGCCTAATAGTGCCAATAGTTTAACCGATTGTTTACTATTACTAATAAAAAACATTGTAATCAAACGGACAGTTAGATAGGCGATTGTATACGTAATTATGATAAACGGTCGATAAAACCACTGTCTCTCAGTTGGTAGTTGTCTGCGAAAGTCATTAACGTTGTTGTTGTTGTCGGCAGTGGTGACCAATCGATCGCCGGCTAAACCGATACGATATAAATGATAGGCCGACCACTTGTAGGCTATGTTTGGCGGCAATAATTTTCTTGAAGAAAAGTCAGACATTATTGAAATTTTTGTTGTTTTTTATATTAAGAAAAAACTAAAATATAGTAAAGTATATATAAATATAAAATAATAATAATTATAATAATACAAGTTTTTTTTAAGTAAATAATATTTTTTTTTGTATTAAAAATACTAATAATGAAAATAATATATAAATAATATAATATATATTATGATTACTTGTAGGCAATGTGCAAATAGTTGTGTTTAAAATACAATTTATATATTTAAATGAAATATTTATTTATTATTATATACATTATATATTAATACAGTATCATAATAATAATAATTATAGGAATAATTTAAAAATAATAATTTTAATAGTTATTATTAATAATAATAATTTAATTTCTTTCATAGATATTTAAAAAAAACTAATTTAAAATTAGTAATACTGTAATTATATTTAGTTTTATTTATTGTAATATAAAAAGATAATATTTAATTTATTTTCAAATTTATTATTAAGAAAATTATTCTTATTATATTTTTAATATTTAAGTTATTGGTAATAAAATAAATATTTGTAATTTATTTTCAAAATATATAATTGTTACAAAATTTTATTAAATTAAACATAATTTTTTTATTTATTGTAATAAAAATTAACTAAAATTTTTAATAAGTTATTATTACTTCAAAATATATTACTACTAATTATTATTTATCATTTATATTGATTATCATTATAACAAATTTCATTACTAAAGTAAAATTAAATAATAGGCTAATTATATAAAATATTATTTTTTATTAAACTTATGTTTTTATCTAAAATTATTTTAAACAACAATTATGTATAATCAATAAAAATATTATAAATAGTAAATAAGATATCAATTATATATTTAAAAAAATATTAACATTTTTATTAAACATTTTTTAAAACTATAATTTATTTATTATTATCATTTTTAAAAATAATAATAATAATGTTTTGACAACTAACATAATTATTAATTAAATTTATTAAACATTTTTAATATAGTAATGTTTTCAAACAAAAATAATTGTTATTAATTTTAACAATAAATCTAATTAAAGTAAAAATAAAATAATTTAATTTTTAGTGTTGACAAACATTTAGAGGATAAGAAAAAATAAATAAAAATAAAAATTATTTCCAATAAAATCCTCTTAAAATAAATTGACTATCAATTAGCATAATCTGTAATGTTTTCACTTTAATCGATTGGTCCGACAATTGGCCCAATTTTTGGTCAATTTTCTGATAACTTGATCTTAAATAGTCTAATATCTATTTATAAAAATAAAATAAATTAATAATAATACAAATAATATTTTTTAAAAACTAATTTATGTATAGTATTGATGATAAAATTTAAATAATTAATATAAAATACTATCCCATTAGCAAACTTACACAAAATACATCAACAATAACCTTAACACACACTAACCTTAATCCACACTAACCTTAACCCACATTAACTTTAACCTACACTAACCTAAATCCACACTAACCTTAATCCATACTAACCTTAATCCACACTAACCATAACCTACACTAACCATAACCCACACTAACCTTAACCCACACTAACCTAAATCCACACTAACCTTAACCTACACTAACCTTAACCCACACTTACCTTAACCCACACTAAACTACCATCAACTCCACCTATATGTAAACCCACACCCACTACTTACTTGTTGGGTAAACGGTGCCCACAATTGTCTATATCGATCAGCCGTTTCCTCATCGATAGCCGTTTGCAATTTAGCCAATACCTTGGCTCTGGTATCTAACCATTGACTCGCCAGTACTCCTGAATCGTTAGACAAATTGAAGGCATCAATTGGACAACCATTAGCCAGTTGTCTATCTGTATACTGGTTCCAATACCAGATAAACAAGGCATCGTCCATTAGATACCGGCGCCCGTACGGTGTGTTAGTATAATAGCCAGCATGTTTTAAGGCATCTTTTTCGACTGAGCTCAGATAGCTACCAAATTCCCAATAGTACTGAGCCACAATATCCAGGTGCTCCTGCTGGGCCTGGCTACTAGCCCGGATGATTTTTGTAATTACCAACGTATCAATACCTGAGCTAATATTACGTGTTAGCTCAGCTATGGATAGTGGTATAAATTTTTGTCGTACACTATCGTCAATGACTGGTGGACTGGCCCATGGGTTAGCCGGACAGGTAGCTGCTGTCAATCATAAAATTAATAGAAAAATAAAATAATATGTTAACAAAATTAATAATAAAAATTATTAGTTTAAATATTATTAAATTTTTGTTTGTTTTTTTACCATTTAAATTAATGTAAAAACAAATAATTAAACATAAACTAGTTAATAGAAAATGATACATGGTAGTTTTATTTATTGTGCAAATTATAATTTTAATAAAACACTAGTTATATTATTAAAAAAAATAAAACAATTATATTATTATTGAATTTTCTTATATATATATACTATATTTATTTATTTATTTAAAAAGTTAATAATGTTTTTTATTTGTAATAATGTAAAAACAATTTATTTGTAATTTCAATAGAAATTACAAATTCAATTGACACGTATGCATGAAATGCATTTTTTTTTTGTTTTTTTAAAAAAACTTGAACATTAAAATAATACATTATATTATTACTAGTATATTACTAATTAAAAAAATATATATAATTTATTATTTAGTAAAAATTTTACTGAGAATTTTGTATTTCAAAATTTTTTAACTGAAAAACATTTCATCATAATTAATAATTATAGAAATATAATAAAATATATGAAATTATAACAAAAATATTTATATTTATTTTTTTATGTTATTATTATTTTGTTAAAAATATTATTGAATAAAAATTAAAATACAATAATATATATTTTTTTTAATTTCAATCAAATATTTATTTATTTAGCGCAGTATATTTTATTATAATTATTTAGTAAATAAATTAATATATTTGTTAGTATATCATATTATTATTATATATAAAAAAACAATATAACAGACAAAAAAATTTATAATTAATATTAAATAAATTAAATTATATTTATTTTTTGAACTAATTATTCTAATTATTGAAATAAAATTCAATTAACACGTATAAATGAAATGCATTTTTATTTTTTTTAAATATTTTTTTAACATTATAAAACAATAAACAAGTCTATTATGTTATACTAGTATATTACTAATTAATAATAATAAAAAATATTACTGAGAATTTTGTATTACAAAATTTTATATTGAAAAACATGAAAAACATAATAAAAAAATTAATAAAAATTATATATATATACGGTATATACCAGTATATACCAGTATATACCAGTATATACAATACAGTAATAATTAATTAAACTAATAATAATAATAATAATAACTTATATTTAATGTTATTAATTTTGTTTTAATTTTAAAACCATTAAATAAAAATTAGTAAAAAAAATAATAACTAAGTTATTGAATTATTTTATTAATTAATTAGTATTTACTAAACAATTAATATGTAAAATAATTACAAATATATACACACAAAAATGAAATATGCTTACAAAATTATTATTAACATAAATTTTTTTAAAAAAAAAGTATTTATTTTTATAATTTTTTTATAATAAAAAAATTTTTATTATGAAAATATTTTTTTTTAAAGAAATTATTATTAATATTATTATTTAAATAAAACTTGTAATTGATTTAATAGTTTATAGGATTTAATTTTTTAGTAATATATTGTAAATAACTATTAAAACTGTAATTAAATTAATTATATTATTTCGTAACATGAATATAATGTTATTTTAAAAAATAACTCAAAACTTGTTTTAATTGTTTTTTTAAACTTTTATTATTGGTTATAAAACTATATATAAAATTTATTAAAATTAATTAGTTACATAATTACAGTTACATTAATTACATAATTTTTTTAATATCAAATATTATATAAAGATATTATTGTCAAAGTTTATAATAATTTAAGTTAATTTTCTATTTATTAAAATTTAATAAATGTCTAGATTTTTTTTTACATTATACTAAATAAATTTAAATGGTAGAAAACAAACAAAAATTTCCTAATATTTAATCTAATAATTTTTACAATTAATTTTATTAACATATTATTTTATTAATTGATTACTACTAGATTGAATATATATATATATATATATATACACGTGTATATAAAAATAATTATTAAAATTAATAAAAATATTTTACAAAAAATTAATTAGTTTTAATAGTCTTTATGTTATGAAATAATATAATTAATTAAATTAAAGTTTTAATTGTTATTCATATTACTTAAAAAAGCAATTGTTTTATACAAACATATTTTCATTTTTTTAAAAAAGAAAAATTATTAGAAATTTTATTAATTTATTCTCTATCTGTATAACGATTAAATTTTTTTTATATAATTTTTTAAATAATAGTTAGCAATAACAATGATAACATAATATAATACCATTGACTTTTTTATTATATGATAAATATCTATATATTTATTGATTATATAAATTGATTATTTTTTAATAGTTTAATAAGTTTAATAGTCTTTACAATAGTATTATAAAAATAATATATTAGAATATAATAATTAATTTATTACTTTTTTTTAAATAATAAACTAATTTTCTTTAATGTCAAAAAAATATATCTAATTTATACTTTATTATTGTATATTCAGTATAGTCATACAATTTTTATTAAAATTTATTAAAATTTTTTAAGTAAAATATTTTTTTTAAAAAAATAAATTTTCAAGTTTTTCAATCATATAATTACTACTAATATAATAAATTTTTAAATACATATACTGTATATTATTATTTTAATAATAATAATAATAAAAATAATGACTAGTTTTTCATCGAAAAAATTATTGCCGATAGACATGGCCTACAAGTGGTCGGCCTATCATTTATATCGTATCGGTTTAACGGATGATAATCCCGGTGCTGACTATCCCCGGAGGCTATGGTTTTATAATCCGTTACTAATATTTATAATTTGTTTCATATATTTAATTGGAAAACTAATCTGTATGTTCATCGATGGCGACGGCGATAATAATAATCGGCAATTGTTTATACTATTAGGCGATTGGGGTCAACTGTTGGGCACCGGTAGACTAATGACATTGATTATAATTGAAACGGCACTGTTAGCTCAACTATCTCAGCTAACCTATTGGTATAATAATAATAACCACTTTGACTATCCATCGGGTAGTAGTAGTAGTAGTAGTAGTAGTAGTAGTAGTAGTAGTAGTAATAATAATAAACATTCATTTATGAGATTATTTTATATGATGTCTGGCCAACAATGGTCGCCCCATAGTCTGGGTCTAACTAATCGCCAAGAGATACATAAGCTAACTAAACGTATGTCACTGTTATGTCGATTGAATCAATTGAATTCAGAAATATTAATACCAATAACTGCTACATCAATAGCATTTGTATCATATCTAATGAGTTTATCATCACTAAGCGATTCACTAATCTATGGTATACCTAATGCCCTATATTTTGCTATATGTTGTCATTATTATTATAATTTTATTTTTTTCCAATTAATCTATTTGTTTATACTATCGAAGTATTTGAAATTAAAATTGAAAAATTTAATTTTAAACAATAGATTAATAACAACAGTTAATAGAAAACATTTTTTAGTAGAAAATAATACTAATAATAATTTTAAAATAAATAATTCAAGAAATTTATTAAAATTATTGAAATTATTAAATAACCTGTTTTTGGAAATTTTCGATTACAATCACAGTTATTGGTCAAAATTTTTATTATATTTTTGGCTAACATTTGGCATAACAATTGTCGGCCAAATTTATACAATAATTTTTGTTTCCCATAATTTAATTGTTAGACTAATACTTATTTATTCATCGATTTCAATGTTTATGATATTTTTATGTATAATATTTATAACAGCATCTGTTAACTTGTGTGCAAACAATTTTTACAAATTATTAAATAGTTTTCAAATTTTTTAATAATAATAAAATATATAAAGTTAAATATTATAATTAAAATGTATTGACTATTAATGTTTTTTTATTAAATAATGTTTTTATTAATTACATATAGAGAATAAATTAATAAAATTTCTAATAATTTAAAAAAAAAAATGAAAATATGTTTGTGTAAAACAATTGCTTTTTAAGTAATATAAATAACAATTAAAACTTTAATATAATTTAATTATATTATTTCATAACATAAAGACTATTAAAACTAATTAATTTTTTAATAAAATATTTTTATTAATTTTAATAATAATTATTATATCGATATATAAAGTATATGTAGACAATTAATTGATAAAATTAAAAATAATAAAACTATGTTAATGATAATAATAAAAAATAAATATATATGTTTGTGTAAATAATTATATCTTTTAAGTAATATAAATAAAAATTTAAACTAATTAAATTAATTATATTATTTCATAACAATATATTATAATAAATCTTAATTATTTAAAAAAAATTATTACTGGTTATAAACATATATAATTTTCAGTATTAAATTTAATTAGTTAATAGAAAAATACTTATTATTTTTAGTTTATTAGTTTTTTTTATTAATTTTTAATATCAATATTAAATCTTAAATAATGATATTGTCAAAGTTTATAATAATTATAAATTAAAAAATAATATATAGTATATAAAAATTACTTTATATATTTATATTTATAATTATATGATATAAATCTTGAAAATTTTAATATTTTACATGAAATTATAATTTAGATTTTTTTTAAAAAAATCTAATTACATTTTTTACATAATACAAGCAAATTGTTTTGAATATATACTGTATCAAATATTATATAAAGATATTATTGTCAAGGTTTATAATAATTTAAGTTAATGTATATATATATATATATATATAAATTATCAATAATAGTCAATACATTTTAATTATAATATTTAACTTTATATATTTTATTATTATTAAAAAATTTGAAAACTATTTAATAATTTGTAAAAATTGTTTGCACACAAGTTAACAGATGCTGTTATAAATATTATTGATAAAAATATCATAAACATTGAAATCGATGAATAAATAAGTATTAGTCTAACAATTAAATTATGGGAAACAAAAATTATTGTATAAATTTGGCCGACAATTGTTATGCCAAATGTTAGCCAAAAATATAATAAAAATTTTGACCAATAACTGTGATTGTAATCGAAAATTTCCAAAAACAAATTATTTAATAATTTCAATAATTTTAATAAATTTCTTGAATTATTTATTTTAAAATTATTAATATTATTTTCTACTAAATAATGTTTTCTATAATTAACTGTTAATAATCTATTGTTGTTAATAATTAAATTTTTCAATTTTAATTTCAAATACTTCGATAGTATAAACAAATAGA